GAAGATAAAGGAGCTACGAACCTGACGATTTTTGCGTGAGAAAGCCCATGCTTCGGACACTCTTTTAATACTATTTTCATCATCATTATTCGTTTACGTTGAAAAGTTTCGATTTTTTAAAAATTCCTCGACAATACGCTACTTTTCGACGCGTGAAAAAGTCACCTTGTCATCCGGCTCTGTCCTCGCTTATTACTACCGTACGTGAGCGAGTAAAAATTATACAGCTATCGAAAAATAACGATAATGAGCTGACGAAACGATTCTGACCGTCCGTCAGAATTACCGTCAAATTTCGAAAAAGTAAACTTTGAGCGCCTCAAAAGTACCGATGACAACCGTTTTTCGGCGTACTTTGTCTTCGTCGATACGACCTGCGTTACGGAGCGACGTAGCTACGTTTTTTTTTCGCAAAACGAAGACCAAAGTCTCCTGATTAAACCGACATACACACGTTACCCGATCGCATTTTTTAAACTCGGCAGATTACAAAATTCAAAGATATGCACACATTTTTAGTTTGACGTTTCAATTTTGAATTTCCCCTCCAGATCCCCGGATTCCTGTTAGGCGGGGTATTGTAGATACGATCGTATTACGAAAGCGAGCGCGTGCAAGCGGAACGTCAAAAACGTGCCATTTTCGGCTTCTTATGTTGGTCGCTTCATCGAATATAGGATCACGCCGAATACCATTGTCCTTTTTTACGCGTGAAAATAAACATTTCCGAAAGGATTCAAAAATTTCTATATTCTATAGTACAAACGGTACCGGACTATACCCTTATTCGTTATAACAATCGAGTAGGTTTCGGTGGTTTACCGACAGATTGCGATGATTACCGATAGATTCCGATGTTTACTGACAGATTGTGCAATTATTCTTTCACGTTTAGCAGTTCATCAGCTTAAATACGATAAATATGATTGAAAGACGTTATTAATGCCAAAGCAATTCTGAAGAGAGCAGAAATCCACAACATAGCAAGACTTTGTACTTATAACAGTGTGTGTATTGTGTAGTGATACCCGGTGCCGAGTGTTTACACTTTTTCGGTTCAGACGAAGTGCCTCAGTGTATATATCTATCGTGATAACGTATTTCATCTTTTAGAAGATCGTGAGGTATCCTTATTAATCGTCAGCAGATTTAAATAAGGTAAAAATAATTTTTATTCCTGTCAAATCATAAAACATTTACACTGAAGATAGAAGGTGCTATCCTTAGACGAACACGGTTGAGATATGTCAGTGTCAAGCGCCATTTTTTGTAAGTGCGGTAGCTAGACATGCGACGTTGCCGGATCCTCACATAAATCGGAGTTTGTCATACAATTTTATAGAGGGCATTAATGCTATAGCGAAGATTTTATAATGCCATTGTGTGTTATTTATGGTGACACATGCGACGTTGCCGGATCCTCACATAAATCTGAGTTTGTCATACAATTTATAGAGGGCATTAATGCTATATCGACGATTTTATAATGCCATTGTGGGTTATTTGGTGACACATGCGACGTGAAAAAGAAGAATGAAAAAGGAAGGAAAAATGCAAATGAAAAAGGAAAAATGAAATAGAAGAAGGAAAAATGAAAAAGAAAAAAAAAACGAAAACGAAAAACACAAAAAACGAAAAAACGGAAAGAAAAACGGAAAGCGGCAGCAGAGGTAAAGAAGGGGAAAAGAAAAAAGCAAAAAAGAAAAAAATCAAAAAATCAAAAAAAAAAGCAAAAAATCAAAAAAGCAAAAAATCAAAAAATCAAAAAATCAAAAAATCAAAAAAAAAAAAAATCAAAAAATCAAAAAATCAAAACAAAAAATCAAAAAATCAAAAAAATAAAAAATCAAAAACAAAAAAGCAAAAAATCAAAAATCAAAAAATCAAAAAATCAAAAAATCAAAAAAAATCAAAAAATCAAAAAAATCAAAAAATCAAAAATCAAAATCAAAAAATCAAAAATCAAAATCAAAAAATCAAAAAATCAAAAATCAAAAATCAAAAAATCAAAAATCAAAAAATCAAAAAATCAAAAAATCAAAAAATAAAAAAAAAAAAAATCAAAAAAAAAAAAAATCAAAAAAAAAAAAAAAAAAAAAAAAAAATCAAAAATCAAAAAATCAAAAAATCAAAAATCAAAAAATCAAAATCTAAAAATCTAAAAATCTAAAATCTAAAATCTAAAAATCTAAAAATCTAAAAATCTAAAAATCTAAAATCGAAAATCGAAAAATCGAAAAATCGAAAAATCGAAAAATCGAAAATCGAAAAATCGAAAAATCGAAAAATCGAAAAATCGAAAAATCGAAAATCGAAAAATCTAAAAATTAAAAATTACCAGACCAGACACCAGACACCAGATACCAGACATCAGATAGCAGACACCAGATACCAGATACCAGACACCAGATACCAGATACCAGACATCAGATACCAGATACCAGATACCAGACACCAGATACCAGATACCAGATACCAGATAGATGCCAGACACCAGATACCAGACACAGATACCAGATACCAGACAACAGATACCAGATACCAGATAAAGCGATAACAGATACCAAATACCAGACACCAGACACCAGATACCAGATACGAGATAACAGATCAAAGATGCCAAAGGATAAAAAACGATTAGAGATAGGGATAAAGTATATATCGCTAGCATTGCATTAGCATACCAGCAACTGCGCTACGGGTGGTTTTAAATAAAGACATCAACGGACAATATTTAGCATAGCGTTGGCATGCTAAAAACTGCGCTAGTCGACTATATTAAGCGGTGATCGATTGTTTTAAGGAAGAGGTCACGTGACGTTAGAAATTTTGGGCGGGCGACGTCGACGCGGTTTTTTCGGTTTTTTCCCGGTTCGCGAAACGTTCGGAAGGAAGGAGGTACCGTTTCGGAAACTAGAAACTCGGCGCTTTACGGGCGGGCGAGAGCCGTCGCG